TCCTTAACCTTGCAACAGTTTTTTTGTATAAAAATAGATATAGATTCAGCTGTGGTGTTTCACATGCCTACCTTTGCATTACTGCAAATGCAGGCCTGCGCTACTAGGCTCCATGTGTCCAGCCCCTGGCTGCAAAGGTGCCTGGAATGAAAGTCACTGCCTACATTGTACAAGTCAAGTGATAGGGAGCATGAACTCCACCATCCGTGGCTTTTACCTCCTGGCTCCTTCTGGCTTTCACATTCTTTCAATCATTTTTTATCTTTTTGCAGAAGTTTGAAGTCACTTGTTTGTCATGGTGGTTTTGTGAAGAGGAGAAGCTGGTCACTGCTCTGTAAAAACACTATTGGTTATACGATCAACAGGTGCTGTTGCTAGGGCTTAAGAAACAAATGTTGGGACAGAGGATGAGCTCCAAAATCCATTCCCAGCCACTGTGGCTTTGATTTGAATAGGCAAAAACAGATACGCTTGTTTTCTGCTGTATCTGTTGTTTTAGTCTCCAGACACCATATGGGTTAAATTTATGAAAAATTACCAACTTTGCCTATCAGAAATCTCCCCACTAACACATTCAAGACCTCATATGTGAAAATCTTTACTCATATGTGAATTCTTCCATCATAACAAGAAAAATAAATGTTGCTTGAATATGTTATTTAGCATTTCTTACCTAAAACAGTTTGAATGTAAGAGATGCAGATGAACCTATTGAGTGAGGCATTCTTGTTGTGTTTTTATTTAGTATACTTTGTAATAGTTTTTCTTATTTTGAAGTGTTGTTGATACATGCATTCAGTCTTAAATCAGTTACAGTTTTTTTTCTTTTATTTCATCTGGAGGAAATACATTTATGAATTCAATTTATGCCAGCAGCTAGTGTCAAACTGATGTATCTTATCACACATGACATTTTGTTGAGGGTTATCTTTTATTACAGAGCTGAATAGAACTTAAATACTCTACCATGTGCCTGATAAGGTAGGCATAATAAGATTATACATATATATATCTGTTAAATAGAGAGCTTGGTTGGAAAACCTTGGTTTCTTTCATAATGAAAGTAATGAAATGAAATTTAACTATATAGTCAAAATCAGATTTATTCTAAATATTGATTTAATGGAGTAAAATAGTAAATAAATGAGTCGGTATTTTCTCTCTAATTCTGAAAATAAATCAATAAATCACACAGCTCATATGAAAGCAGAAAGTTCTTATAAGTTTTGTATAAGAAATAAGCTGCAGCGATTTTCACACAAATTTTGCCAGAGCTAAATCTGCATTCTGAATATGACCTAGCTTAGCAGACTAACATATCTGACAGTCCTCTTCAAAGTACACTGTAATTATCTTCCGTGAACAGAACTTCTAAGGATTAAAAGCAGAGTTCTTATACTGATAAATACAGGTGAATGTTTGTAACTGAAATTAATAGAAATTAAGCATTACTATTTAACTAAAAGCTTAAGTACTTATGAGGCAGTGCTTTCTTCTTAATTTCTTTAAAACAGTATCACATTTGCAATAAACTCTGCCTCACTGCAGCTTTGATATATCAGATAATATTATTTTCCAATCTTAAAATCTGTACAATATTAGGTTTAAAAATTCTTCTTTAAAAAAGAAAAAAAAATCTCCATATAGATTAATATTCGATGTTGTTTTCAATATGCAAGTGAGCTGTTATAAAGCAAAATTCATAAAGGTGACATATCATAAAGCGCAAAAGTATTGGTTATCTAAGATGAGATTTTCCTAACTGCCTGACTTTAGGAGCCTTTTAACTGCCTACATTAGTTGTCAAGAGCAAGTTTACATGAACAGTCAGTGGTAAAACAAGTGATTAGTCCGCATGAGGTGGTGGCCAGCAGTCTGTGTTACAGGTCTGCTATTTCTATCAGAGTTTCAAGTGTTTGAGAGAGCTTCATTACAGTGAGTTCTCTGTTGATAACCTGCAAGAGGGAAGAAGTTGTGGCTAGTCTTCCAGAAACATTAGGTTTTTAAATCCTGACTGAATTTGGTAGGTTTCTCCATGCTCAGCACTTTGGAAAATAAGTGCACTTACAACAAATCTTAACTTTCTGCTCTTGCTTTTGTTATTCTTTGTCTGTCTGTCTTGTTCTCGTATGCAGAATGGTGCCTTCTTTAAGGTGCAAAGCAAAGATCTTAGTTACATTATGATAAAATTTTGTCAATTTGCATTCAGAAGACAAAATCAGCAGCCTCCCTGAGGCAGCAACCAATATGGCATCAGAAACACAAGTCCTGGCACTGTCACTTAGGAATATGTGACAGTGCCACCTTTTTTGGCAAAAGTGCAGGCTGTTGTCCCGAAGCAACACAATTGCCAGCTAGGGCACTTGGTCACCCAGCTCTAGTTCAGACCTCAGCACCTGGGAATATGATACTTTCCTCCACCACCTGAGAGGGGAGGAAAACTCATCAGCCTAAGGTGTGAATGCAGTCAATGGATGAACAATTTGTTAGGTATGGAGAAGGTTTCTGGTACGTAAAACAGTAGCATTTCTTTTTGGAGGAAAAATTAGACTGAGGTTTTTAGGTTGGAGAGGTAGTGAGATATTGTAGCAATGAAGAAAGACAGCTACATGTGTATGTACCCAGGTGAGATGTCATCATGTGCAGTGAGAGAACTCTGCAGGACATGTTTGGTCAGTGTAATCTCTCCAAAAGGCATAGGCCTTGCTTTTCCTTTACAACAGGTAGGGTTCACAGGTGGTACATACAACACACTGCTGTTTTTTGAGGGAAAAGGGGAAAAAAATGAAAGCTACCGTTTCCTTCTCCACCATGTTTTTTTGTAGTAGAGCTCAGTTATTGCTGTGACTCCCCAGATTTCTGAGTCAGAAGACAGAGCTGAGAGAGGAGGATCCTATTACACAGAATCCTCCTTCTGGACAGAACAGCTGGAAACCATCAGATCAAAAGGAGTTGGACTCGATCCCTGTGGGTCCCTTCCAGTTCAGGACATTTTATGATACTCTGAATGCTAATAGATATTAAATAGCTGCTACCTGTCATCCCAGTAGGAAGAATGTAGTCAGCCTCTGGCTGGGCTTGTGCATTGGGAACTATTTAGTGCATAGTCAATTATGGTTATGTACCTAAAGAAATTTAAGTACAAGAGTTTTGAGTAGACACTGCTTCAAGAGCTGTTATATGGTACCCAGACTGCAGCCTTCTCCAACCTGTATCATTCCTCAGCTTTCAGATCCAGAAAATCAAGAGAGTAACCTCCAGTACTTGGTTAACTGAATCCAACTGATTTCAGTGGCATTTTTCATTCATTTATTCATTGTCAATCTTTCTCTCTTTTATAATTTGACTTTAATGAATCTTGCCTTCAGCTTAAAAACACAGTCAATCTATTGGCTTTGAAAATGATTGTTAGTCAAAGAACACTTACATTTCTATGTCTTCTTGGGAGATAGAAAGCATACCTATTGGAATACTTTTTGTTTCTTTGTTATTTAATTAAAAATAAATAAATAACAAGAGCTTTCTTGTATGACTAGCCATCATGCAGCAAGTATTTATGGCAATGTTGGTTGCAAACCCTTCAGCACCAGTGTTGATCCTCATATGGAGAGATGTGGGGGAAAAAGGAAAGAAAAATCCTCCAAACATTTACCTTTGCTAGGAGTTATCTTTCTGTCCAAGTTGTAGAACCTTTCATATGGAGCATCTTTCAATAAAGCACTCCCTGAAATAAACTTGGAAAAGTCCATTAGGATTAATTGTAGATTATGAACATCCTTTGAAACATGCAAGTTTCATTAGAGAGAAGTAACAGCATTCCCTATAGTGTTCCACGGTTATTCTTGAAACGATGTCAGATGGTCTCCAAAGGTAGAATTTTTCTTAACACAAAAGTATGGAGAACCTTCCTCCCTGTTTTGTTTCTTAGGTAGGCCATTCTACCTCCCACTCACAAAAAAATTCCAACTTTCATTTGCACAGATGTTTATAGGAAAACATTCTTCAAAGCAGAATGGAAAGCATATATATACATACATATATAGCTGTTTATTTTGGTGAAGTTGGAACACTATTTTCATTATTGGGCAGTGGGGAAACCCAGAGAAATTGCTTAGCAACCAGCAGGAGGGACAAGATATTCCAGATATTGTAATATCTGATATTCAAACAAGATATTCCAGATATTGTCCATTTCTGTATGACAATTGCCACTTGAAGTGAGTTTTCTGTCTTCATGTGCAATTCTTTTTCTCTATGGCATGAGTCCCCTCTAAGTCAGAGTATAAAGCAAATTATTCCACTAGGCATGGTCTATAACCGAAACTGAACATAATGTATCAATGCAATGCAGGGGAGGTTCTGTCTCCGTGGGGCTTTTGCTTCTTACTGAGTTGTATTGGAAAGAGAAGAAAACTGAACTCCAGATTTCAAAGACAACTGACTGAACCAAATACCTGTTTACATTCTGCAATGTGACTGTGCATTCTACCACTGCAGAGTTAACCTTTAGGAGACTGCATCACAGGTTTTTCATTTATTTATTTTAAGGCACTTAGAGATTGGTTCACTGGAAAATTCATTTGAACAAACATTTGTGCCAAAGACAAATCACATATTTTACGTGCACAGCTGACTGTGCAGACATCTGTCTGTCATTTCAAAAAACTGTGGGGCTTACTGCTTTTCAAAGTCCTGTATTCTGTTTTCCCAAGTCTTATCTTGCATGTGTTAGGTAAAAAATGTTTTGTAAATAATATATGCATCAGAAATTGATTATAAATATCTTCTGATACTGGTCTTCTTCTCCTTTCAATTTTGCCTCATTTTTTAACTAGACGGATATTAGCATGGAACCAAACACGGCTTCCTGTTTTATTCTTACTCTGTTTCCTGTGGAACAATAATTAGAACACAATCTGTTAGCAACAGGGCTAATGTATCAGAAATATCCCCTCCGACTGCACTATACTGAAAGCTTGATTACCTGTATTTCTTTTTAGGTGCATATGTGCTTCAAGTCAAGGCTACAGATGCTGATGATCCCACCTATGGAAACAGTGCTAGAGTGGTCTACAGCATTCTTCAGGGGCAACCCTACTTCTCCATTGATCCGAAGACAGGTAAGCAGCTTATCAGCAACAATGGAAGATTTAAATTTTGGATTTCAATTCATGTGGGCAGTATTAGTGAATAAAATGTTCAGTGCCGATATGGCCAAAAGCCAGTGGAGTAACTTTGCACATAATTTCGTTTTCGCTATTGACTGTTTTTGAATGGACTGCAATCTGTTGTAGAATCAAAAGAAACACCCTCCTCCAACTAATTCTGGAATATCTAAAATATGCATATATCAAACTTTTTTTTTTTTTTCTGATCCTTTAACATTTCTTTATAGCTAAAGCTTTATCTACTGCATGTGTTCTAATTTATTTATTTTTTCCTGATGATTCACTTTTATATCTCAGGTCTTCATTCCTCTTTTTTATCACCATTTTTACTTGCTAAAGTTACAGCCAGGAATTCTCTAGAAATGATTGTTTTACTGTATAGAGCTAATTTGAGGTTATGGAACAGCTAAATCATCTCCTGCATGCCTGTTTTCCTGGGGCATAGTATGTTTGTCTGGGGTTACTGGATGTGTGAGCAGAAAAGGATAATACATTTTAATAGACCAAAGTATTTTAGAGGCTGCTAGACCTGTTAATTAGATATCTTGTCCTATATTTTTAAATGCCATTCTTGTTTCTACATTTAGCAATTAAGGAACCAATAACGTACATGGTGAATGCTGCACCTGTGTCATCTGGAATGCGTTACAGGGGTAGCTGTCCATATGCCGCTTTCAGCAAATACAGTTTCTCCTTCCTGTTGTACTCAAATGTCAGATTGTGTGTTAAAGAGCATTCCTCCCTGATCAGTCAATAGCTTGGAGGTGAGAGCTATATCAGGCCATTAGTGCACTATCTCAACAGGCACATGCCTCTCCTTTGTCACATGCTCCATTTAGCAGGAGATTGTGTTGCAATTTGCAGACAGCAACTTTACTTTTAAAACTGAAATGTGACTTGTTCAAGTGTCTTGGGGGAGGGAAAAGTATTTACCTTTGACTACTACAAGAGTATCCTCTGACTACTCTTGTAGTCTCTGGACTGAGAGACTGAGATGACTGAGACTGAGAGACTGAGATGGAGACTACTCTTGTAGTCTCCATCAATTTCTCCTTCAAGAAATCCTGGGCGATTAGCAGTGTCCATGTAACTGAAAATTCTGAAAGGAATCTTCCTCCATAACTTGTTTACTTTCCAGTAGAGTTAACTTGTCCAAGTGCATCATATCTGCACATCCAGCATCTAGAAAATCCACAGAAAACGTTTTCTTGAATGAAAAAAACAGCTCCTCATGCTTCTTTGAAATCAGACACCTCTTAACTGGTTTCATACATTCTCCTTACATTGTAATGCACTTCTTACATTGCAAGAGACAGTGAACCGTTAATTCTTATTTATTATTTTGAAGTTCCCCATGACTCCATAACCCATACTGTATTCTCCCCTGGATGTCTCTTTTCCAGAATGAAGAATTCTTTAAACAGAATCCATTCCATAACATTGATTCTCCGCTTCCTCTGGGCTTTCCCCAGTTCTTCTCTATCCTTTTCAAAATCAAAGGATGAGAATGTGTACACAGTGTTCAAAAAGGCAGCTCATATCGATGTCTAAAATGGTTTAATGATTTCTCTTTTGTTCTTTATTCCTTTCCAAACAGTTTCAAACATTGTTTACTTTTTAGTACTACCACACAAAAACTGATAAATTTGTAGAAATTTGTACTATTTCAAGATCTCATTGCACAGTGGTAATGGTCAAAATGCTGACCAAGTTTTTATATGTGAAATTAAGATTGTGTTTGGCATGCACATGACTTTACATGTGGTCCTGTCTCAAGTCATTCTTGATAGATAATTTATTCTGATATTAATCTAGAAATAGTCTCTAAACTGTGACTGAATGTCACAGCTGCCTTTTTACTCATTTGTTTTATTGACCTCATTTTCTGCAGTGATCTGCTGAAGGTAAGCACAACTATGTGAAAGCGGGAGAGCTAGTTTTTATTGCTCTTGCAGGAAGGTTAAATGCATTACAGTCCCAGCTGGAGAGGAGCTGTTGGAGTGGTGTATTTTGAGGCCTCAAATCTCATATGTGGGGGTTACTTTCCTATGCTATGAGATTGCTCACCTGATATTTAAAGAAACTGTGAGGTTTCTTTAACATAAAACACTTCTCTTCAGGCAATCTTTCTTCTGTACTTTCTATTCTGTTACTCAAACATCTTTTTCCCAACCTTCTTTCCACGCAATTTTCCAATGTGTTTATAAGGTCAATACATGTATTCTTATGGATGTCTGAAGTTCTGTCTTAGGCTTGTTCATTCTGGTCCATATTCTGACCTCAGTTACATTCCTGAAATCCAAACTGGTTTCAGTAGAACTATTATCATTAATAGTTATTCAAGAGGTTATTCACAAAACCTGTTTTTTCTTTTCCACGTAAGTGAATCATCTGTTGTTGAATTATGGCTCAGTGACTTTGCAGAGTGTATCTTCTGGCTGAGGTAACATGCTTATTATTTTCAGTCTTCAGCAGCTACATTGAGAAGCAGTTTTTCTGTGGATTTGATAATGATTTTTCAAAGAGAGAAAGTAAAAGTCAGTTCTGTAGCCGAACGGTCTTTACTGCAAAATCTTAAGATGGAAGGATTTTAAAACATTTAAAACACTGTCATGTGTTCTTCACATATCACTTCTATATTAGAATAACCCTTTAGTTTAAAGTTTAGTTATTCTTTGTGAAGCTGAAGTTGGAATACCAAAATCTGTAGTCTTTTATTTCTTATGGATTTCATCTCCATTTTATTCTTCTCTTTTGTTGTGGTTACATAACTTTAAATCATCTTTATCCAATCGATATTAGCTGATGATTTTGGTAGAAATAGCTTTTTTCACTTTTTTTTTTTTTTAGCTATGCTTTCGTAATAGAGTAGGTACAGAAGGGAAAATTGCCTATGAACTGTTAGACATGACAATTATTCTTGTTGTTTTTTTGTGGAGACAAAGACTTCTTACAGAAAAAATATTGAATACCTTTATACTGCTAGACAGGAATAAATAGTGAGTGACTGGGAACTTTACTGTAAGAATTATAGTCAATTCTTCATTTTCTGAAAATCATCAGGAATATTTCAAACTGAGAAAGCCACTCATCTGCATCTAAAACTTGTATAAAAGTCAGGCGACCTTCATCACCTGCTCACAACACACTATCTGCCCATTTTCAATGTTTTCCATTTGCTGTTATTCTGTTTTGCTAGTATAACAAGGAAAATCTTTAATTCTCACAGTTCTAGGCTCCTTAGCAGAGCATACCAGGGATGTTGTAAAATACTGTGGAATGTACACTCTCCACAATACAAAAAATATTAATTAAGAGATTCGACATAGTAACGTTCATCTTATCTACAAAAAGTTTTTTTATTAATATCACTTTCCACATGAATTCTTAATGGTTCTGCTATATTCATGATGCTTATTATGATACCACTAAGTTTTTCAGTATGCTACTCAAATTTTACAAATATGTATATGAACAAGTTTTTACAGTTTGGAGTTTACAATTCAAGATTTCTTTCTCAAACAAAACAATGAAAACTACTGATTGTTTTCTCAAAAGAATAGAGTTGCTCTATCTAATTATTAAGTATTTGCTAGTCATATTCTAGATATATGCAGTACAGTAAGTGCCATGCTGAGGTGGAAAATAGTCGTTATTATTAACTGTTGTTATTAAAAGAGTTAAAAGTGGAGAGAATGGAAATCATTACACAATTCAATTTAATAGGAGATTGTAACAAGTTCCATAAAGAGCAAATTTGGGTCAAAGTTATTCTTAGGCTCTGAACAAATACTATAAGCTGGCAATTCCTATTCTTACTTGTTAACATAGCAGCAGTCAGTTGACAGAAAAATAAGAATGAGGTGTCAAGTTCGTTTCTTAGCATTCAAGATCCATTATAACACCATGGGAGAGGAAATGCTTTTAAAATGAAACAGGATAATACTAGAAAATAGTGTTTTCTAAAATAATAGTAATTCAGAGGAGGAGAATGCTTCCAATTAATATATCTTTAATTGCACATGCTACCTGCACCAATCTGAACCTAGATGTTTTCTGAAGACTATTGCTAAATTTTGCAATGTAGTATGTACAATAAAATATGTAATTTGCATTTTGCAATGTAATATGCACTTAAAAATTTTTGACAAAAAATATCAAATACTGCTACAGTAGGTTTTAAGAGAAAAACACAAGTGCCTCAAACTTTCCACAATCTCATAAGCTAATCATATGATCAGTACTACCTTTTTCTCTCTATAATGCTTCCTTTTCTTTTATACCTTCTTAACATATCAGGAGGGATACTATGGCATATGTATTGAGCCACCAGATGTCCAAAGTCATGAAAGACTGAGAGTCATCTAAGTAGTTCGTTCCTATGATATTTTGATTAAATTTCTTTAAAGAAAGTCTGAAAGTTTTCACTGCATCTATGTGCTGTATCAAGAAGACCTTCTCAGGAAAAAGGAGAATCTTCTAATTAAGATGTCTTTTTGTACAGAAGGAATATTTTCTTGGCCTAGAGTAGCTTGACTGTGATGGCAGGTGACTGGTTTGAAACGATGGAAGTTTCAGACTCTGAAATACATTGGCATCTCTTCCTACACCACCCTACTCTGCACAATACAGCATTCTTTGGTCCTGTTGTGGTGAACCTACACTCACACCATTCACATCCCTAGCAAAAATGCACTATGCTGTGTCAGCCATTTATGTCCTGCTCAAAATGGCATAGCAGTCATTTCAAATGGTTTGAATAGGTTAGGAGTACACCTTTGAAATGCCCAAGTGATTTGTGTGTTCCATTGTGAACTGTTCTTCTATCAACCCTTTATGAAAAGAGACGTTCCTGGTCTTAAGAGATCCAATATTAAAATGTAATAGGTTACAATCACAGTCATTTGTTTACTTGTTCTTTCTCTTTCCCGTCTCTTAGGTGTAATAAGAACAGCTTTACCAAATATGGACAGAGAAGTTAAAGAACAATATCAAGTTCTCATCCAAGCCAAGGATATGGGAGGACAGCTGGGAGGACTAGCAGGAACCACCACTGTAAACATAACTCTCACAGATGTCAATGACAACCCACCCCGATTTCCTAAGAGTATGTTGTATTCCAAATGCATTAATTTTCAAAATAAGCATGAGTGAAAGTATTAATGTCAAAAATCCTTTAGATAAGGACCTGAGTTCCAGGAAGAAGAAAAGTATGTGGTGAAAACAATCAGAATATACTGTTGTTTTTTGTTGTTTTTGTTTGTTTGTTTGTTTGTTTGTTTGTTTGTTTGTTTTTTTAATAATACAAAGTTACACTTGAGAGTATCAGTTTTTAATGTTTAAAAGGAAATATATCATCATTCTGTAGGATCAGACTCAGTCTGAGAGTTCATTTCCTTTATACTTTAAAAGAGATTTGGGAAGTAATATTTTGTAAAGGGAAACTGGATGATCCTCTTCAAATGACAAAGGGTTATAACCTGATACCTCCAGGTGCAAAAAACAGAGGAGAACTGCCTCATGCCAAGCATTATGATAAACAAGCACAGATTTTTCATATGTCTTGGCCAAGAGGATTATGTCTGTCCTTAAAAATACTTACACCCTCAAAATAGCAATCTTCCATGGCAATTTATAGCGTTCCATATCAATTACTTTAAATGAGGCTTTTCAGAAATATGCTAATTTAAAGAGTTTTGTAGTCTGTGTGTAATTAGCAAAAGGATTGTCACTTACTGTTCTCCTTCAATTCACTGAAGTTTTGTATGTTCTGTATCTTTGAAATGCAGACACTAATCAAGCATAAACTTTGATAACTATACCAAAACAATTAGCTGCAAAAAGTTGTTGCAATAATGTTAGAACATTAGCATGAATTTACAGTAAGATCAAGGCTGCTTTTTAATTTGTAGCTCTTTTCTTGCACATGAATTGTTATTCCACTTCATGTATTACAGATGCTTCCTAGGTACCAGACCATATCCAAAATTTCAGTTTTCTTTCATATAAAAGAAAGTTCTTACCCTTCCTACCCTCATTATGAAAATATACTGCATTTCTGCAGGAATGGAAGAATGACCATGCAAAGACTAAGGTCCATGTGTCCCGGTCTTCAGTCTCTTACAATGATATCTGGAGGATACATATAAGAACAGACCAAACACATAATAATAATCCAGAAAATTTCCTCAGTTTCTAACAGGTTTAGTCTAGATGATGTCTTAGAATCACAAAACCATAGAACGTTGCAAGTTGGAAGGGACCACACAGATCATTGAGTCTTACCCCTGGCTTCAGGCAGGACCACCCAAAAATCAGACCCTGTGTCTGAGAGTATTGTCCAAACACTTCTTGAACTCTGTCAGGCTCGGTGCTGTGACCACTGCCCTGGGGAGCCTGTCCCAGTGCCCAGCCACCCTCTGGGTGCAGACCCTTTCCCTAACCCCCAGCCTGACCCTCCCCTGTCCCAGCTCCATGCCGTTCCCTCGGGTCCTGTCGCTGTCCCCAGAGAGCAGAGCTCAGCGCCTGCCCCTCTGCTCCCCTTGTGAAGAAGCTGCAGGCCTCCATGAGGCCTCCCGTCAGCCTTCTCTACTCTGGGCTGAACAAAGTAAGGGATTTCAGCAGCTCTTCATACGTCTTTCCCTCCAGATCCTTCAACATCTTTGTGGCCCTCATGTGGACGCTCTCTAATAGTTTTATGTCCTTTTTGGTGCCCCAAACTGCACACAGTGCTCAAGGTATTTACTATATTTAACAACCCTCAATGGATTTTTTTTACATCAAGTTGCCCAGTTGCTTTGTAACTCATGTAAAATTTCAGAGTCCACAACATTCTATGCTAGTGAGTTCCACAGATTAAACATATATTCCACAAAAAACAGCTTTCTCTCATTTCCTTTGAATTTCCTTTGAATTTCCCCACCTGCATCCCCACCTGCATCTACCTGCATATTGACCTCTTCAAATAATTCAGAAAATGTTGCAAAACATGGCCTTTATTTAGAATAGCTGTGTTGAGTTTTCTTCAATAGGGGTTATTATCTGTGAGTCCATTAATTCTGGTCGTACTATGTTGTCCTGTGCGTGTCAGGCATATCCATCTTTCATTCTTTAGCACTCCCTGAAAATCTTTGAAAAAAAAAAAAAGACTTCTGAACACTGAAAAGTCAGTGTTATGTTAGCATCTCCAAGTCTTCATGTGTCACAGTGGTTTGAAGCAAGATATTACCCATCATAATAGTTCACTTATTTCATCCTTCAGGCTCTTGGGCATATAGCAGTGAATCCCAATGATTTGTCTGTTGTATACTTGTATAGCTAATCTAACCTTCTCTCATGAGTCTCCCCTAAAGATTTCCAGGATAGAAAAATTCCCCAGCTTTTCTACACTGAACACACACACACACACACACACACACACAAAGTGTATTAAGCTTTACACTTATTTTGCCATAACTCACATGGACTACAGTCACTGTTGACTCCTTGTGTATTTTCACATCCTGTCATAACACTTGTGAGGTACTCCAGCTCTGGTCCACAAGCATCCACTATCAGAGGGTTTCTCTGAAATAATGTTCCCACTGTCCTCATCCTCAGTGTTTGGTAGACCACCTACTGTTGCAATCTGTCCCCTCCTTTCAGCTCAGTCTCCTGCCGTTGGAATGGTGTCACAGGCACAAGAGGAAATAATACATCTTCCTGGAAATGGAAAAAAAAAACAGCACATTGGCAAGTTCCTTGGGCCCAATGTTCTTTCCTGTGTCTGATTTTCAGTTGTACATTTGACTTCCTTTGCAGTCAGGGGCTTTAGTCATTTTCTGTTTCATTGTATGTCTTCATCTAGTACCATGTTTCAAAGAACCACACAAGCCTCACATATGTCAGTTTTCATGAAACAGGAATTGTGGAATACATCTTCCTCTTTGAAGAAGGTAGGCTTGAGATCTCATTTCATGCGTGCACTGTAGCTGTGATGTCTTTGTCCAATTGTTGCTATGAAGGAGCAAAAAAACCACAGGAGACCAAGCTTGTCCTCTGCTTTGCACACTAATAAGGTTTAAAATCTTTTCTTTCTATTATATCAAGTATCACAGAAGATGAATTATAGCAGGGACTCTCAACAAAACAGAAGAGAATATTGGAGGTTCATGTTGATATTGAAGGTAATAAATGTTTAGCATGGCTTACAGGCTGAAACGTCAGCATGGGGACTCCATTGTACTGGAACAACTTTGATTAAGGCAGACAGTTACATGAAACATTTCCTTTTTTTTCAGCTGTGTTACCGACATTTATATTCTCATAAACTAAGGACTGCTTCTTAATCAGAGCAGTGAAAGTGAAAATCCTGATCAACGGTGATTTACTTAGCCCATCCCACTTGGTACATGAGATGGTGTATAGTGTGCCTGGAATTTGCAAAGACTCATGGCTAATTGCAGCTAGACAAAAATAATTAAAAGAAAAAAAAAAAGCTGTCTATAAATTTTATTTCTAATATCGTGAATGTGATTTTTAGTTTTGCTTTTTGAAAACATTGCAGTGATTCAAAGTAACTACCTTCCAGGAAATTTAGTTTGTTATTCACTTGAGCTAAAAGGATACTGATGCAGAATTTTAATTTATGTGAAAAATATGACTTTACAGTTCAGGCCTAACAAGACCTATAGATCTCACTGCTCACAGTGGGAATTGAGACCTCCAGTATCACGCTTTTCATCATTGGTCAACAAAGCCAGAAAGTCCAATTGCAAGCTTAGAAAGGGGACAGAAGGTCTATTAACACTGATTGCTACTGGCTAAATCTTTTTGCATCTCGTCAGGACTCCAGTTTCACAAAGTGCTTATACCAAACAGGTAATGCTATAGAATACCTTATCGAATAAGAAGACATTCATTGTCACAGAATGAAGTTTGCATTTATTTTCTGAACTCAGGTAAGCTGAAAAGATTTCACAGCAGAAGTGGGAGAGCATATATTATTAATACTTTGAAGTAGCTGCACTGATAAATAATATATTATAAGCTTGGAAAAAAAAAAGAAAAAGAAAAAACATCATGGAACACCTTCATCTCATTGAGGGTCCTTTAAGAAGACAGGCAGGCTTGGATAGGATATCAGTTTCCAGTGATGAAAAACACCTCTCAGTAACTATCCTGCTGAACATGGAATTTTTTATTTAGAACCTGTGCTTTTGAACATATTCAGTGGGGAACCCCCACCTTGCATGTCTCACAGTAATGAGATGCCTGTGTAACAAAGGGGAAACCTCTACATACTATATATTTCTGTCAGAGTTGTTTGACCTGCAGGTATCTATTGGCCCACATTTCAGAAAACTGAGAAACTTCAAAAATTGATATTTTCTTGGTAACTAGAAGAAAAAATGTATTTCAGTGATTTTATTCATATAAATTTGTTTCAAAAACTATTTTATATATGTCTTGCCTGACTCCTCATTAGGCATGCTGACTTTTCTGCATTGCTGTGCATGTTTCATTGCTGACAGTAAAATCATGTCATAGAAGTACAGAGTCATAGAATCACAGAATGGTTTGAGTTGGAAAGGGCCTTAAAGATCAGCTAGTTCCAGCCCCTGTGGCACTGGTTCAAGGTCTTACCCAACCTGGCCTTGAACACTTCCAGGGATGGGACATCCACAGTCTCTCTGGGCAACCTGTTCCAGTTCCTCACCACCCTCAAAATGAAGAATTTCGACCTTATATCAAATCTGAACCTATCCTCTTTCAGTTTAAAACCGTCACAACACTCCCTGCTAAGGAGTGTTTCTCCCCATCTTTCCTGTAGGCCTCCTTTATGTATTGGAAGGATGCATTAAGGTCTTCCCAGAGCCTTCTCTTATCTCAGCTAAACAATCCCAACTCTTTCAATGACTCTTCATAGAAGAGGTGCTCCACGACTCTAATGATCTTTGTGGTCCCACTCTGGACCTGCTCCAACAGGTCCATGTCTCTCTCTTGTGCTGGGGTCTCACCTGGGCAGAGTAGAAGGGGAAAATCCTTCCTTGACATGCTAGTTACATGTGTTTCTATGCAGCCCAGGATATAGCTTGCTTTCTGGCCAAATTGGCAAGAGCCAATTGT